CTGATAGTACATTGGCAACTTTCAAGTCCTCTCATAGGGACACTTTTTTAAAAAAGATCAACATTTAATTTGTTTAAAAATATATGTAAGATGCATCTGGATCCAGTGATATTTTTTTTTTTAATTTTCAAACTGCCAGTATCAACACCTCTTGTTATCAATTCTTTTGGGTGCCTATTACCTTCCTTTAAGTAAGTTGAGGGACTGGTATCTTCAGTCCAATATTGAAGGTAGGACTGAATTATTCAACTCCTCCACAATCCCCTTATCCTCCTCTAAAGCTCACCTTAGCAAAGTATCGTTACTATAGGAAGTGAGGGTCTTAAGATATATGAGGAAAAAAAATCTAAATCTAAATCTGTTCCTCCTCACAGAATGAAAAAGTAAAGTTAAAGCTATAGCTGCCTTTTTAGGGCAGATGTCTAGAAGTTCTGCAATACAGGGACCTCAAATGAAGCAAGAAAATATGGGAATTGCAGCTACACAGAGTCAATATTCACTCGAGTGTTCCATAACATGTTGCATAGGCTGATATTCAAACTAAGGAAATTAAGAGAGCAAGTAGCTTAGATCGAGCAGGTTGGCTAGTCCAAGAATTTTTAAGCAAGAGAAAGAATAGCAAGATCAGCGAGAACCACAGAGGAGAGGATTTACTCAAGTTATGCAGCAACATAGCAAGCACGCAAAATTTCCTTCTTCCTATTCATCTGTGAAAGAATTAGAGTCAAGGCAGGCAGGCAGCTGGAAACTCAAGAGAAAATGCCAAAGGACAGAAACTAAGCTTCCTGCTACACTTACGGTCACAGAGTAACTGAAATCTTGGATGAGCAGCAAGGAATTCCTCACTTGGATTATTTTTCGTTGGATCTTGATTACCACCAGCCTTTAACCAGTGAACTCCATATTTTTTTCTATAGTCAAGTTCTGCTCCCTTCCTTTCTTCAGGAAAGATCTGGGGCAAAACAAGATTGTATTATATAAAATCAGAATAGCTAAATCAATTTATATAGCATCATTTAATATTTTTATTTATGGCACTGCTGGTAATGATAACTACTGGAGCTTTTTATTTAAGAAAGTAGGAATGATTCAATTCAGTGTCACTTAAGGTTTGAAAATAACAATTAAAGGCTATGACCTAAAGCAATCCCATATTAATTTTATTTATAATTCTAACCTTCCTCTTTAATATTGTCCTCTCAGATTTTCTAAATGAACACTCCATTCCATTAATCTACAAATGTACATATTAAAAGAAGCCTGTCTGGAATGTTGAATG